CCCCCATACACCCCATGCTACGCGTTTTGTAGGCTCCAGGAGCCTCGTACTCGCACGGGGCCGTGTTCAACACGCGGCTCTCACCGCCATCTTCTGGCGCGCAGGACTACGAAGACGACGACGGCGACGACGATGACAGCGACAGCGACAGCGACGATNCAGCGACGACGGCAACTACGTCACGACAGCAGAGTTCGAGAAGGTGATGGGTTCGAAGAGAGGCAAGGAGACGGTGCAACTGATCGCCGCGACTGCTGCCAAGAGCGCCGCCAGGGTAGCTACGCGGCAGGCCTTGAAGTCCGTGCAGCAGCAGTTGGCAATGGTGCCGCAGCAGCAGGTAAGCGGAGCAGAGGACCGTTCCGGGGTCTTTGTGTGGGAAGAGGAAGGGAAGCTGCAGCGTTTGTGCGTAGTTGGCGATGAGTGCAAGCACTTGCCGTGACATTCTTTTTCTTTTCTTGTAGCANAAGGGAAGCTGCAGCGTTTGTGCGTAGTTGGCGATGAGTGCAAGCACTTGCCGTGACATGTCCGTTTTTCTTTTTTTTTTCTTGTCGCGTTGTAGATAAGTGTTTCAGCCATCGTTTCTTTCCCGCCCAGAGGTGCCGTGCGTTGACATGTGGCTATTTCGGGGGGAGAGTTGTTTCGCCTGCTCTCACGCTTCCGTGGTGCCTCTCCCCATGCATGGGTATCCCTCGTTTGCCTCACGGCTCCCTCCCTCCTCCCCGTTGCTGCGAATTGCCCGCCCTCCCTCCGGCGTCTAGGCCGCGAAGACGCACAAAAGTGGCAAGGGGTCAGAGCGCGGCCGATTNACGCACAAAAGTGGCAAGGGGTCAGAGCGCGGCCCACGTATGAGATGCGCCATCCTCGCCACTGGCGCATTCGTGAAGTCGAACAGGTGGACGAAGGACAACGGGGAGCTCGTCCCCTATACCCCAACCACCACCAACTGCCACGCCAAGAAGGCCGTTTACGAGTTGATGCGCTATGTGGGCAGCGTGGCCATTTCGGACAAAGATGTCCAAAGTGAGCGAACATGGTAGTCCTGGGAGCAACATTTTTTTTCCTTGTGCGTTCAAACATGTCACGAGCCCGGCAGCCGATGTCAGGTGTACCCGGTCAACTGCAAGACCCTGCGCGTTCGTATGCTGACTCGTCTGCATTTCATAGAGCCACAAAGTGTTGAGGACGTTGCGCTAGAGTGCCATCATTGATTTGCAACGCGAGGTGAGCACCCGCGG